ACATCTAACTGGCTTTCTTGGAAAAATATGGCAGAGACATTTATTAATCAGTTGCTGCTGAGTAAGGATTAGTTGATTATGTTGTTGTGGAACTGGTTAATCACGATAAATTGTCCAACGCTTGGGCAATATTTATTAGGAACAAGGCAGACCCACTTGTCACCTAAAACCAGATTTGAATTTAAAGTGTCCAAAGAAGATGGGGTACTGCATTAGTCCAAAGGACTTGCTTTTCTTTCTTTCCTTCCATCCAAGTTGTATGGGAGTTCCACAGGAAAACAATGTGTTTGATACCCTACCACTTTTCTGACTTAAACCATCTCATGGAAAACTAGTAATTTACCTTAGAAATCCCTCTTCATTTCAATGTATCTAGTAGGTTGCAAGGCTTTTGTTTTCCTTTTTAAATCCCTAAGGCCTTGTCTATACTTAAAAGCTTTGCCAGCACAGCTACACAGGCAAACGCTCCTAATGTATGACAGGTTTCAGAGTAGTTTATAATGTAATGTAGTTTATACCAGTTTTGCCAATATAGTTTATACCATTTTTCTGTGTAAAATAAGCTACCCCAGCAAAACAATATTTTTGTCAGCATAATTGCATCTATAGTAGGCCTTTTGCCAGTACAGCTCTACTGGGGGTCAGAAGGATGATTTTACATCTTACATCTGTGAAAAATATACTTACAGAAGAGTAGTAATGTGCTGCTTACAATGTGACACAGAAAACAGTGTAAGATTCATTTCCCTACCCACCCTAATTTCCTCTTTTAGAGCCAGATTTGAAGAGGTGGGGGACGGGGGGGGGGGGAAGAGTGAGGTCTAAAGAAGCTTTGACTTTAAGCCCTCTGGGCACTGGTGCTTTGTTTCTTGCATATATAGCTATTATTAAAAAAAATATTTTGGTCCCCCATCAAATGTTTCAATTATTGCAAGGAGAACCAAACTATGATAAAAAACAGATGAGATCCTAAGCTCTAGCATTCTAATACAAAAGGTCTCAATAGGCATAGCCTTTACCTTTATTTCTAATTAAGGAACATAGGTGGATCAATATGACTTTCATTGATTCTGTTACATTCAATACTCTGCAACAGAATAACTTTATATTTGTTTTTTTAAACATTAAAGTCTTACTTTCAAATCATTTTTAGCAAAGCATTAAAGATAATATAATTTTCTGAATTTAAAATCACTCAAATTGATCTTCACAGACATTCTATATTATTCTTGTATAGAACAAATGCCATGAATGTTATGAGTCTCTCTATTCAAACATTTAATTACAAGATCCAATCATACTGAAATTTGTCAAAAGCACTTATCCAAACTCAGAAAAAAAAATACCATTTATATATGATGGAGTGGAATAGTTCAAATATATAAAATACATTGCTTTCTTACACTGTTTCCATTTAGGTCATAAACTGTTACTATACATTATTAGCAATGGAAAATTGGGGTGTATTTCTTCTTCAGCCAGTGAAGTACTGTTTATTTGGAAACAAAAAGTCATTCCAAAGCCATCACCTGAACTCTACTACATTTTCAATCATAGTAGCCACCCAGTGGAAAATTTTTGTAATGCTCATGTATATTAAGGGTTTGGATTTCGGAGGTGCAGAGGACCTACAGTTTCCACTGATATCAGCTGAAAATGAATGCTCAGCACCACTGAAAATGAGACTCTAACACTAGCATTTACTTTTTGAAAATAATCTTTATCTGAAATGAATAATACTGCACCCAAGAACTAGAAATTCAAAAGACTATACATTTTAAATTTGTAAAATGAAGCCTTCTAAAAAGAAAAGAGAGAGACTAGCTCTCAACTTGAGTTTCTCTAACCTTTCAGAATAAACCACCGAACAAAAGTACTGTATAAAAATCACTAAAAGAATGAATAGAAAACATTTAAATGTAGGATTTAAATTTTATATAAGTATTCAGTTATAAATGCTATCTAAAACATAGGAATCCTTAGCAAATTAGCATTATAGAAGAAAATGTCTTTGCAAACCTGGAGAGAGGAACAGACCTAAATGATCTTACTAGTACTAGTGAAACTGACCTACATATAAAGGTAGATGGGGAATATGTCACATTGTGGGATCAAAGCTTCTGAGGTAACCCAATCCTTTAAACATAATCAAGGATAACATTTCTAAAGCTATTCCAGCTGAATAACCTTGACCTGGTCCTCCAACATATATAATGGGTTTGTAATATATTGATAACATTCCAAATGGAGTACAGAATAAAAAATGGACAAAAATTTTGTTTGAAATACAATCATGTATTGTTTTAGTGCTTTTGCTACTGTTCATATCATCACTAGAAAGTAACAGTAAGAACAGAAAATTCATTTTTTATCATCCAACTATCCATATCCAATTAATCCTTAGACTGGGATTTTTCCTCCTTCCCGTCTCTCTATTGTGACTTGGAGCAAATCTTTGTACCATCTGCTGGGGTTTAAAATTGATTCTGGAAGAAAACTCTTCCCAGATTTCATTACTTCAGAAGCTGTAAATGTAGATTATACATGAGTTGCATCTTTTGCTTTCTTTTGGGTAACAATGAACATTTTCTTCTCCAGAGGGAAAGGTCAGGTAGCTGGAGATGGAAAGCTGAAGAATGAAAAATTGTCTACTGATAAGTAGAGGTGGTCTAACTATTCATAGAAAAACAATATATTCAATAAATTCAGCTCTCAATTTTGTTTGCAAATTATCCATGCGTTGACTCATTTTTACAAATTTGTTCAGTCACAATTATTTGACAAACCTTTAATGGGAACAAATTTCAATCTATAAATTGCTTGCAAACTTTTTTTTTTTAGTCTTTTCTGTATCTACAATAGATTCTGCTTAATAGCAACCTGCATATTAACAACTTCCAGTTAATAGCAACCTATTGCCAAGAACCAATGCCATCCCATTGACTTTAAAGTTAATGGGATTTGGATATTTGCAATGGCATGTTGCTTATTAAGAACATTTTTTGGAGAACGGCCCTAGCTACAGGCAGGTTTTCAAGGCTGCAGCCACAGAAGGAAGAGCTTAGACATGCCTTCTTGGCTGCAGCCCCACAAACCTTCCAGTGGCAGGTACTCAGCACGTCCCAGTGCTTCCTTGTGGGGCTGCAGCCTTGAAAACCTGCTTGCTCACAAGGACCAGGAGGTAAGGGGCTGCAGGCTCCCTGCTGTCTTCAGGCTGCACCCTGTCAGGGAGCTGCACCCAGGGAAGAAAGCACTGGGACATGCTGAGCTCTGACACCTGGAGAGCACAGGGAGAAGTACTGTATACTTCTGTGGGCACTCAGCATCCTGGCTCCCCATAGAAAGCCCCAGCATCCAGGCAGCAGCCCTCCTCCCTACAGTTGCCCTGCCCACAGGAAGGTTTGCAGGACTGCAACCAGGGAAGGCACATCTCAGCACTTCCTTCCTGGCTATAGCCCCACAAACCTACCTTCCGCTCATTTGCAACTGCCGGACAAAGACAACTTTTTGCTGGCAATTAAGGGGCTGCTAATAAGCTGAATCTACTGTATTTGCCTTGTGTGATCATTAACCTAAGTTGTATGCTATGGTTCCTACTCCATAATTAGATGACTACAGCTTCTGTTAAAGGCATAGGGCTTGAATTGGTCATTTGTGGCATGAAGGTTTATGCTAACACATATATGAGTATTCCAACAACCTTTTCTTCCAGTGAACATTTTTGCAAACAAACAAAACAAAGCCCTCATACTAATATTCATGGAAAGGAGGTGTTAAAGGGATCACAAATGCTAAAGTGATTTTGCACAAATAATCATAAATATCTTTTCCAGCTCTGTGGGAACAAATGTTTCCTTTCTTCATCTCATTTACATTCAACAGTCATCAGTCTGGTATTTTACCAGATGTAATTAATCAATTAGGGAGGGATATGTTTAATTTATGGACTGTATACAAATGTGCAGGTTTAGACTTAATAGATTCAGACTTATTCCTGAGACTCCAGGCTCAGGAAGTCATGCTTATACTTAGATATCCAGCTATCCAATGAAATTATGTAAAGAGAACCACGTACTTAATTTAAAATACATGGGCAGTTCCACTGAAAAAAGTGAAAATACTCACATGCTTAAAATTAAGCATGTGCATAAATGTTTGCAATGTTTGGATATTTCTCAATCCACAAATGAAAGGTGATTTCTCATATGCAATGTGCTGCGATGCTTATATCTGTCTTGATATGAATACTTTATGTTTTGTTCTCCCTAACTGTTGGGTAAGATAGACTACAAGGAAGATTGTGTTTCCATTAACAATTTACACATGCCATTGCTCTTGGGTTGTCCACCATAGTCAATATCTTTGGCAATCTCTATAATGATTATGCAAAGATACACAAAAGAACTAGATAAGTTCATGAAGGATAGGTCCATCAATGGCTATTAGCCTGGATTGGCCGGGACGGTGTCCCTAGCTTTTGTTTGCCAGAAGCTGGGAATGGGTAACAGGGGTGGATCACTTGATGATTACATGTTCTGTTCATTACCTCTAGGGCACTTGGCATTGGCCACTGTGGGAAGACAGGATACTGGGCTAGATGGACCTTTGGTCTGACCTAGTATTGCCATTCTCATGTTCTTATGTTCATATTACATGCCTACCTTTTTGAAAGCCAAGCGTCTTAACAAAAGCACCATTATTACTTGGTGATGTAAAGATACAAAATGAAAACCTCTGTTTGATTTCTGGAAGGGGAAATTAACTTTCTGTGGGGAAAAAAAGAGAACTGTTTCCTTATATATCATCAAAATGTTGCTGAAACTAGAAATCAACTCAGAAGGCAAGGAAATTTTGTGTTAAACTTTTTATTATGGCAATAAGTATTTAAAAGCACAATCCAAATTATGATAACTACAAACAACCCACAACCTAAACTTTAAAACAATAAGTGAACAAAACAAGAGAAGTTAACATAAAATCCTGATATAGTAACAACTTACTTGATGGTTTCTTTGCAGCCTGTTTCTCAGGGCCTGACATATTTCAATCATTTGTGTAAGTTCAGCTCGGGCAACTGGTACTTCAGAGGAATGGTTTTCAAAGTCAAGTAAAGACCTGTGTTTTAAAAAAATATGTATACATATATGTTCATATATATAGTAAAGCTATATTATGTACAGTTTCATATTTGTGCACAAAACAATATTTGCATCCACAACTCATTTAGAATAGATTCAAAAGCTAAGCATCTGAAGCAAAATCTATTTTGAAGTTTTAAAGAAATCAAGTTTTTTTTTCCAGTTGTGTTATGTCAATGCAGATTTTGTAGAGACTAAAGCAAGCCTCTTTATAAATCAGAGATGCATTTATATTTAGACATACTAGACAGATAAACTGAATACAGATTTTAAAAGTATGTTTGGAAAGCACAGTTTAGGCTAGATAACAATGTGCTATATAAGTTCTTTGATCCTTTGAAATATTTAAGTGTTCCCCAATCTAATTGTCTGCTAGCTCTTATTTTTAATTATCACATGTTTACTAATAGGCATCCAGGATCCCCGACTGTTCCTAAGAAATATAAGACTTTGCCTACACTTTAAAGTTGGATTGACATAGCTAGGTCAGTCAGGGGTATGGATATAAAACAGTGCTGATCTAAACCCCAGTGTCAATGCAGCTATGTCGATGGAAGAATGTTTCCATCCATATAGCTAACTTCAGGGAAGTGGTGTTCCTCCTCGGTCAGAAACACCCCTTCCATTGGTGTAGGCTGCGCCTATACTACAGGTTTATGCCAGCATAACTACACTGACATAGTTATGCCAGTATAATTATCGTACTGTAGCCATACCCTTAGTAAAATAGCACCAATCTTATTAATCTCTTAGGATATTTCAGAATCCTGATTAGCTAAGAGGGGTGGAATACTGCAGCAGAAATAAGACATCTCACATTTACATTTATTTTAACACTTGAAAATCCAAAGACTGCTTACATTACAACATATAACAGAATGCTTTATAATACATTACTGTTGAGGTATCTCTTAGGTTGCAATCAAGTACTAAATTTGCATTAGGGACACTGGAATTCTTTGAGTAGGTAGTTTCACTCATACCATTTTATTATTTTTATTATAGTTTTCAGCAAGTATTTGTTTGGTGTATGGGTGCCTTATAAGGTTTAAATTGAAATAATCAACATACTCAATATAGACCAAACACCATGCTGTCCTGCTGCATGTAACTTAGTTCCATAAGAGGTTTATAACAGCATTTTAGGCACTAAGAGATGGTTGAAAGAAAACCAAAAAATGAAACATTTTTGTAATTCTTTAATTTCAACTGTAAATAGAGGACCTCAGCAAATCTGAACAGAAAGATTTTTACAGATTTTTACTCTAAATAAATACCCTGTCTCATCAGTGACAGATTGTGAAGACATCATTGCAACTTCCTCAGAGCATCCGTCTTTGTCCTCTCAGCTAACAGCCTGTCCCTTTATTAAAATCTATTCTATGGCCCCAGTTCTGCTATTAGATATGCGTGAGTGTAGACCTCCATCTGAGCAAACCTTATAGAGAGTACCAGGGCCTATTATTATAATATTTAACCTGTTTTAATAGTTTATACTAATGAAAATTTTAAGCACATAATTAAAAAAAAAACTTTCAATTTTTTTCATTTGCATATGATATAACATCTCTAAAATGTAATATATTTTCATTAATGAATTTTACTGAACAATAATACTATACTCAGGGGTGAAAGTATGCCGATACGGTCCGGTACGGCATACTGGTAAGAAGTGGCCACCAGTACCAGCCCCTATGCAGCCAACATTCATCGCTGCCCCTTTTAAACACACCCCACCCCGTCAGCAGCCCTGCCAGTAGGGACCCTGCTAGCAGGGCCACTGACGGCAGGTGCCCCAGGGCCTGGTGATTTAAAAGGGCCCAGGGCTCCCAGCTGCCATCGCCACTGCTACCACAGCAACAGCTGGAGCCCAGGCCTTTTAAATCTCCACCAGAGCCCCGGCAACATGGGCCAGGCAGCACAGATGAGTTGGCTGGGGAAGGCTGACCCCAGCCCCGCCCCTTCCACCCTTGGCCCCACCCCTTCTGGGGGCCCAGAGCCAGGCCCCCGTACTGGTAAGTCTTGTTACTTTCACCCCTGACTATACTGCTGTACTCCTAAACAAACAATAAGAGTACAGCAGCAGGAAACCCTGACTAGGATAGCAATGGTGATTGTGAAATGCTCAGTTAGATGAGACAGGCTACAAAGGCATAATAATAATGGGAGATTTCAAATATCCTCTTATTGAGTAGGTATGTGTTATGTTAGGAAGGGATGCAGAGAAAACATTTCTAGACACCATAAATGACTGCTTCTTGAAGCAGCTTGTACTGGAACCCACAAGGCGAGAAGTAACTCTAGATGTAATCTTAAGTGGAGCACAGGATCTGGTTTAAGAGGTGAATATAGCTGAATTGCTCAGTAATAGCGACCATAATGTAATTAAATTTAACACCCTTGCAGGGTGGAAAATGCTAAAGAAACCCACCACAGCAGCATTTAACTTCATAAAGGGAACTACACAAAAATGAGAAAGCTAGATGAATGGCAATTAAAAGAAACAGTCACAAGGGTGAAATGCCTGAAAATGGCATGGAGACTATTTAAAAACACTGTAATAGGAGCTCAAACTAAACATATGCCCCAAATAAAAAAAAGAAGAGAGAACCAAAAAATGCCACCAACATAGCAAAAGAGGCAGTTAGAGGCAAAACGGCATCCTTTAGAAATCGGAAATCAAATCCTAATGCGGAAAATAGAAAGGAGCATAAACTCTGGCAAGTTAAGTGCAAAAATACGATATGGCAGAGCGAGACAGAATTTCAAGAACCTAACAGCATTTTTTTTAAGTAGACCAGAAGCAAGAAGCCTGCAAAGCAATCACTGGGGCATCTGGACCATTGAAGTGCTAAAGGAGCACTCAGAGAAGACAAGGTTGTTGCTGAGAAGCTAAATGAATTCTTTGCATTGGTCTTCACTGTAGAGGATGTGGGGAAGATCGCCACACCTAAGCCATTCTTTTTAGGGGACAAATCTGAGGAACTGTCCCAGATTGGAGTGTCAATGGAGAAGTTTTTTGGAACAAACTGATAATTTAAACAGTAATAAGTCACCAGGATCAGATGGTACTCACCCAAGAGAACTGAGGGAACTCAAATATGAAATTGCAGAATTACTAACTATGGAAGGAATATTATCACTGAAATCAGCCTGGGGGGTAGCTAACATCATCTCAATTTTTTAAAAAGGCTCCATAGGCAACCCTGGCAATTACAGGCCGGTAAGCCTAACCTCAGTACCAGGCAAATTGTTTGAAACTATAGTAAAAAACAGAATTATCAGACACACAGATAAACATGGTATATTGGGGAAGAGTCAAAATGGCTTTTGGAAAGGGAAACCATGTCTTACAATCTATTAGAATTCTTTTAGGGAGTCAACAAGCATGAGGACAAGGAGATCCAGTTGATACAACGTATTTGGACTTTCATAAAGCCTTTGACAAGGGCCCTCACCAAAGGCTCTTAAGCAAATTAGGCAGTCCTGGGATAAGAGGGAAGGTCCTCATGGATCAGCAACTGCTTAAAAGATAGGAAACAAAGTATAGCAAAAATGGTCAGTTTTCACAATAGAGTGAGGAAATTAGTGGGGTTCTCTGGATCTGTAATGAGACCAGTTGTGTTCAACATATTCATAAATGATCTGGAAAGGAGGTGAACAGTGAGATGGCAAAATCTGCAGATTATATGAAATTATTCAAGATATTAAATCCAAAATTGACTGCAAAGAGTTACAAAGGGATCTCACAAAACTGGGTAACTGGACAAAACAGTGGCAGATGAAATTCAGTGTCGGTAAGTGCAAAGTAATGCATATTGGAAAACATAGTCCCAACTATACATACAAAATGATGGGGTCTAAATTAGCTGTTACCACTCAAGAAAGAGATCTTGGACTCATTGTGAACAGTTTTCTGAAAATATCTGCTCGTTGTGCAGCAGCAATCAAAAAAGTTAACAGAACATTAGGAACCATTACGAAAGGGATAGGCAACAAAACAGAAAATATTATATGCCCACACCTTGAATACTGCAGTTCTGGTCACCCCATCTCAAAACGGATGTATTAGAACTGGAAATGGTGCAGCGAAAGGCAATGAAAATTATTAGGCATATAGAACAGCTTCCATATAGGAGAGATTAAAAAGACTGGGACTGTTCATCTTAGAAAAGAAATGACTAAGGATATGATAGAGGTCTATAAAATCATGAATAGTGTGGAGAAAGTGAATAGGGAAGTGCTATTTACCCCTTCACATAAAACAAGAACTAAATCCAATTAAATTAATAGCCAGCAGGATTTAAACAAACAGAAGAAAGTACTTCTCCCATAACACACAGTCATCCTGTGGAATTCATTGTCAAGGGATGTTGTGAAGGCCAAAAGTATAACTGGATTCAAAATAAAATTAGATAAATTCACAGAGGATTGGTCCATCAATGGCTAATAATGAGGGATGCAACCCCATGTTCATGGTGTCCCTAAACCTCCTTCTGCCACAAGCTGGGGATGGATCACTGGTATTTGCCCTGTTCTGTTCATCCCCTTGGAATTATCTGGCACTGGCCACTGTCAGAAGGGAGGATACCGGACTAGATGGACCATTGGTCTGACCCAGTATGGCTGTTCTTATTTCTATAAAGTAGAAGGAAGAGATGGATTTCAAAACAGTAGGAAAGTCTTTAATATTTTCTGATGAATTACCTCTGCTCTGGAACACATTCCCTCTTGTCCAGCAGTACCACATTTAGATTACATTTAGGTCATAGAATCATGGAATCATAGAATATCAGGGTTGGAAGGGACCTCAGGAGGTCATCTAGTCCAACCCTCTGCTCAAAGCAGGACCAATCCCCAACTAAATCATCCCCGCCAGGGCTTTGTCAAGCCTGATCTCAAAAAAAAAACCTCAAAGGAAGGAGATTCCACCACCTCCCTAGGTAACGCATTCCAGTGCTTCACCACCCTCCTAGTGAAAAAGTTTTTCCTTATATCCAACCTAAACCTCCCCACTGCAACTTGAGACCATTACTCCTTGTTCTGTCATCTGCTACCACTGAGAACAGTCTAGAGCCATCCTCTTTGGAACCCCCTTTCAGGTAGTTGAAAGCAGCTATCAAGTCCCCCCTCATTCTTCTCTTCCGCAGACTAAACAATCCCAGTTTCTTCAACCTCTCCTCATAAATCATATGTTCCAGTCCCCTAATCATGTTTGTTGCCATGCTGTGAAGCTCAGCCTATTTATTCAGGATTTCTTAATTTTTTTGAGGATATGGCCAAATGGAGAGGGTTTTTCTTGTGGTGGGGAATGAGAGAGAGAAATTTGTGTAAGGGTTAATATCCATATTTGTCAAGTCAGGTATATTTTTATATGTATTTTTTAAAATAGTTATGTAAGTGCACCCTGAGGTTTCAAATGGTACACGAGAAGAGTTATAGGAACAAATACATACCTGACAGACCAGATTTCAAAGGGGGCTAAATTTGCCCTCTATTTGTGCAGCTATTGTGTGCACTCTCGTTTGTGTACTATAGCCTTCAAATGCAAATGAAATCTGTATACGTCAATTCTATAATTTCTGCACAAAAATTATACCATGCAAACACATATGTGAAAGAGACCATCTACAAAAAGCTGCATGTAGAAAAGGAGAGACCACACTAAAAATCTGACTCAGTACACTTCAACTTGAGTAAGGCATTGAATATTGTTCCACAGCCCCTCCCCATAGTTAGTGAAATGCAGATTGAGCATAAGATGAATACGCAACTGACTACACAGAAAATATATTTTTTAAAAAATAAGAGCAACTACTGATTAGTTGTCAAGTTCAGAAGAAGAATCAAGTGAGATCCCAAAGGACTCTGTTTTGGGCCCAATACCATTCTATTTTTTCTGTAACAAATTCTTGTAGGATAAAAAGTAAATGGGGAGAGCAAATGCTATGGGAAATAAGGTTTAAAAGACAGTTTAATCTTCAAAGTTCAGACAGACAATTTCTACTATTCTAATTTACCTAGGGCATAAATCCCACTCTGAATAAGGCCATGATGCACATATTAGTAAGAATAAAAGGTGACACTTATACCTATGTAGAGGGCCCGCACAAGCCCCTATATCATATTTAAAGCCCTTAACATTGGATTTACAGTGTCCACCGAGGCCCTGGTGTAGGACATCAGCATTAGGGCAAATTTCGTCAAATAAAATGGCAAAACATACAAATGTTCCCTCTATTTCCTTACCTGAGTCTCTCACTAAGAGACTCTAGGGAATTCTTTAATTCCAGCATAAGGACTGCTCGAGAACTTAATCCTTCTGTAAGTAGGACCACCTATTGGAAAATTATTAATAAAATTATTTCTAAATGCATATTCAGAGTGTTTATTTTTCTTCTGCAAATACATTTTATGAAGCATTCTGCTCAGATATTATTTATTATCTTGCTGCTTATTATCCTTATAATTGGTCATTTCCCCCCCTCAAGAACTATTTTTTTATGCTTTTAATTCATTCATTCATTCATTGAGTAGCTTTATCTCATCTAATAAAATAGAGAGCTCAGTTATCATGGGGAAATAGTACATGAACAAGTATACCAAAGTACAGAAAAAGTAATACAATGAGTGCCTGAAGCAGCTTTTTATTTTTAAGTGGTTAGTTCTGTTTATTGCAAATAACCTTCAAAAAGGCAAATGGATCTTTGGCTTTATAAGTCTGTCAATGTGAGTCTTCCTAAAAATTACAGAACCAATCAGTGTATTTTAGAGAAAATCCCTGTACCCCTCTCACCTATCCATTCCACCAGTGAGTGGGCATCAAATTCTCTAAGTCAAATTTTTGTTTTAATTCAGTTTCAAACAATTGGCATCTTCATCCCACCTACAACCAGAACTGGCCAAAAATATTTTGGCCTAATACTTTATTTTCAAAAAAAATGGAGTTTTGGGCAACCCAAAACAATTCATGAATTTGACATGAATTTGCTGACTTGTTTCAGACCCCAAATTTTTCAGGGAGTGGGACTAAGATACCGAGCAGTGTTGGTGTGTGTGGCCCCCCCTTATAATCTTTAACCCAGTGATTGGAGCAATCACCAGGAATGAGGGAGATCCAGGTTCAACTTCCCCCTTGCTATGGAAAAAAGGTTTGAACTGGGGTCTCCCACATTTTAGGAGAGTGCCTTAGCCTATGGGATATTCTGGAGTAGGTTTCTTTCAATTTCTCCAGCTGAAACTGTAACCATTTTTTATGAAAAAAAAACCCCGATAATCACTTCCAGCAGGTACTTGAACTTTGGTCTCCTACATTCTAGGTAAGTTCCCTAACCACCAGGTTTCTCTGTCTTCTCCTCATGCCAGGACTATTCTTTGTCATTATGAATGAATGACAGCTTCCCCAGCAGTACCACCTAGAGGGGACTGCAGGTTCAGTGGCTGTTCTCCCAACACTCCCTTTCAAGTAGACTTTTCTGAAGTTGTGGCAGAATCTACCACTGCAATATACAGGGCAGGCACCCCTATGCTGCACTTTTCATGTTCAGTGTTACTGTGTGGGTTCCAGGTGCAAGCCCTCCACAACGTAATGAATTTTAATAACATTACAAAATGTGATCATATCAAAATGCTAGGAAAGTGATGCAGAATAGAACTTCCTACAATACAGACCAGAATCATCTGTGCATGAGACAGAGATTTTCTGGGAGTCAGCCCAAAACAGTGGAATGAATTCCCCCAGGAACCAAAACCTCACCACTTTCTGCTCTAAGTGTAAGGTCCACGTCCAGGCCCTGGCAATCTGTAAGATAGACATATAGCCAATGTGTGTGTGTGTGTAAATTTCAAAACAAAACACTCCACTGCATAAACTTCTTCCCTTGGGAATCAGGTAAGAGAACAAGTTTGTGACAGATATTATTATTCACGATTTGTATTACAGCACTGCCTAAGAGGGGGACCAGGACTCCATTGTGCTAAGTGTGGTACACACACAGAAAAATGTTAGTCACGGTGCTCAATGCACTACTGGAAGGCTCTCAGATGCTACAGTGATGAACATGGTGTAAGAACCTATACAGAACAGACACAAACTGCCATATACAAAAATTCAAAATAAATATCACTGTTTGTAGCTATTCTTGGTTCTCATATACTCAACTAGGACTTGGTAGGTAACTGAAATGCCAAGGAGTAAATTTTCAGTGATAGGATTTAGACATTCGGTGCCATTAATGTTAACGCATCTAAATCCCTGAGCATCATGCTAAAAATTTCCATCTCACTGTTCAATTATCCTTCTTATCCACTTACAAGGCCCTTTTATGTAGGTTACAAATACAGTTTCATAGCCTTAAGCTCTCAATTTCTTTTCTCTTGGTGAAGACATATTGAAAGGGCTTTCAAACTTTTCACATTTATATAAGGTGTAGAAAGTAGCTGTCAGATAACTTGAGCTCAACCTTCAACCTCTTAAAGCGTGTTCCACTCTAAAGTATTACGTAAAAATGGCATCTTCTTGTTCAAAAAGGACATGTTTAGTATATCAGGCTTATTTTAGTGACAAAATTAAAGTTTTTATTCTTCAGCTCTGTGTAGCTCGAAAGCTTGTCTCTTTCGCCAACAGAAGTTGGTCTGATAAAAGAGCTGACCTCTCACAACTTGTCTTACTAATATCCTGAAACCAACATGGCTACAACACTGCAAATGATATATGTCTATCTAATTAGAAATTGGGACTACTTTAATTATAAAAAATTGTTCATTTGTTCAATATTTTGGAGGTCTACAGAACTACATTTTCTTGTGGGGTTTGCAGATTAATTGAAATCCTAAGGAAAATCTCAGGAAAATTCCAAATGTATCAGCTTCAGACAGCTTTTTCTGAATGATAGAGCAGCAGTGCGAGCTCTGCTATTACAAATGAAAAAAGAACAGCCAGATAATAGACAGGCAACACTATATCTCCTTAGTGTTAATGGATTGCTGCTGGGTGTGAAGGAAGAACTGTCCTGTCCTATAAATCTAGAGAGAGTCAAGGTGGGTGAGGACCAACTTCTATTGGTGAGAGACAAGATTTCAAGCCACATTTGAAAGCTTTTAGAGTAGCAGCCGTGTTAGTCTGTATCCGCAAAAAGAAAAGGAGTACTTGTGGCACCTTAGAGACTAACAAATTTATTTGAGCATAAGCATCCGATGAAGTGAGCTGCAGCTCACGAAAGCTTATGCGCAAATAAATTTGTTAGTTTCTAAGGTGCCACAAGTACTCCTTTTATATGAAAGCTTGTCTCTCTAACTAACAGAAGTTGGTCCAATAGAAGATATTGCCTCACTCACTTTGTCTCTAATATCCTGGGACCAACACGGCTACAACTACACTGCATACCGTAAGTCTATACTCATGGAGTTCTTTCCAGCCTTGTGCTAGAAGCATGGACCACAATGCTGGGGATCTACTATTGTACACCTACCTGTGAACAAAAATTCTATTTCCACATTAGAGCAAGCAGTTTCAGAAGAAAAAAAGATTATCTGAAATACAAACTAGTTCTTATTTCCTAGTGTCACATTATTACCTGCCGCTCTAGCTGCATTACTTGTGCCTTCAAAAGACGGACACGTCTTTCATCAAAACATTCACTCTTCCTTTCTTCTATAAGCAGGGCATACTGACTTCTAGGAAACAAAATATTACACTACATATTATGAAGCCAAGTATAATAAAAAAATCCCACAAGATGACATTTACCTAAAACATTTTGATGCAATGCTAGAAATTATTCTGAAGCACAGATCACACTTGCAGCCTCAATTTGCAAAACTGCACATACAGTCAGGAAATGTAAGGTAAAGGGTGAATGTTCATTGTTTGGACTGCTGTGCCCCTGACATGAAACTGTATGGCCCATATTATGCACCTATCCATGAATCAAACTGAGACAGAGGTCTGGACTGAATTCTCTGGGCAGTGTTCCCTGATTCTCTTGATTCTTTTTTGTAGCAGTGGGCACTGTTAAGAGTTATCTACTCAGTGTTTTCCCTTCTGCATCCCTTTTTTGAACCTGTGATCCCACTCCTGTTATTGGTTTTTTTCATTATTTGTCCCATTGTTTAGGTGAGAGAGAGATTGAGTGGCCCCCTTTCTGTTGAGGGCTGACCATGTTTCTTTCTTTGAGATGGAGCCCTTGCCCATCCCAACCTCTGCAAAAAGGATCAAATAGACCAAGATAGAGACCTGAATGAAATCTAGCTGGACATACAAGGCCCTTTTATGTATTGACATGTTATGAAATAATATAAAAATGTAAATACATAAAAATATAAAAGTGAAAAAACACATTTCTAAAGAAACATTTCATTTTGAAACAAATTTGAATTTTTTTTAAACAAAATTTTCTAAAATGAAAAATTTTTCATTGTGGAAATATTTGTTTTCATGGGAAATTTCATCAAAATCAATAAGATTTTGCAAAAAAAAATCAGTTTAATTGAAATGGAATTTTCTAGTAAAACACTTGAGAAAATTTTCCAACCAGTTCTAATTAAGAAACAGCTCTTACAAGGCTTCCTCCTGTCCCTTTAACTGGGAAGCAAGCACAAGTAGTTCTTCAGACACATACCCTCATTTTATCTGCAATAGCACATGTGATTTTCAAGTTACAACTCTGTTTTCCTCTGAAATGAGCATGCACAGTGACTACACGCTAGTCTTTAATTCTGCATTTAGATCAGTGTTAATGTCCCCTGCTAGAATCTTAAACCACTTGGAAGAGAGATTAAATCAGAATCAATAACATAACTGACTCTGAAATACATATATATAAAAACTTTACCTTATAGAAGTTATCAGTTAACATGTAAATGGTACTGCTGCTTTCTTTAGAGACAGAAAAGCAGGGGGAGGGGAGTTTCAGTTGTAAATTTCTTTCTTGCTCTCTCTTCCCCCGCCCCATAGCAATGTGAGCTCCTTCTTGTAGCCGTTTACTACCAGCCATAAACTACTGAATATTAATACCTTAAATCTTCTAGTTCATGCTTTAATTTAGTATTTTCCTCCTGAAGTTTCTGGAACCAAAACAAAAAGAGTTTATAAATACAAATAATACATCAGATATAAAATTTGGTCTTTAAAATATACAGAAACATTTCAATATTATTTAATAACTAACTATAAGTTTTACAAGTAATATCCACCATATAAGAAATATAAACATTTAATTGATGCAGTATTTTAGATTAAATAATTGTAACTAACAAAAGACCATTTTAGATTATTTGAAATCCTACACTCTTTGCTTTAAAACCAGGGTGGGGGAGGATTATAAAAATAATATTTGCATTTAAAATTATTTTCATCCAAACATATTATTTATTTGTTGTTTTCAAATCTGCATTTCCCCTAAGAACCAATCATTTCAAAAAATTATTTGAAGACAAATGGGGCTAAATTTTCATAATATGCATTACTCGCAAAAACCTGCATATATGCATGCAAACAGGCAGAAGGATAGTAAAGTGCATGACTATTCAAACAAGTTAGCTAGTCTGCATATACAAGCATGGGGTTTTGCAGGTACTTTGTATGCTTCCTTTAAATCTTGACCCAATGAGAGACAAACATTTTTTTGAAAACTTAGGTGCCAGGTAGGACATGTGAAATAAAATCCTAAATATCTTAGCTTTTATGCTTAAAATAATAATATTAATATTGATACATATAATAAACTAGAAATTGTGCTCATTTCTACAGCACTTGTTGCCAGGGTAACTAGACGTTTCCAGTGTAGAGATTAAAACAAAAATAAAAACACAAGAGAAACAAGATAAATGCATATTGCATTATGCCCTGAAGATTGCTAGACCTAGGCTCTCCAAGGAGAGAGAACTGCAAAGGTCAGAGGGGTTAACTGAGAAAGCTTGTTTATTACTATTCTAATTTAAAAACACATGTATATCATTAATGTACATAGTTTTTACAAAACAGAGCAAACATTCATACCCCAAAGAAATTATACTCTAATTAACGCAAACATAAGGCAAGACAAAGGGCAATAGCTCTGAGGAGGAAGGGTGTGGGGATTATTTGCGATGAGAAGAAGGGAGAAGCAACTAAGCTAAGAAAAATTGGTGGAATGGTAAAGAATGATGGGTACAGGTCAATTATATAGAATGACCTGCATCACTTAAGAAAGTGGGCTCTTTTTAAAAAAACATTCATTTTAACACAGCCAAATGGAAAGTCATATATCTAAAAACAAAGAATGTGGGTCACACAAGATGTGCCCTGCAATGCAGTGACAATGAGAAAGACTTAAACGTCATAGAAGGAAACCACTTGATCATGAGTTCCCAGTAGCTAAGAGAGCTAATGTAATTCTTGAATGTATAAGCAGGTGAATATCAAGCAGAAACAGGGATGTTGTATTACCTCTATCTATGGCCTTAGCAAGACCATTACTGGAATACTGTGTCCAGTTCTGGTGTACATACTGCAATTAGGATGTTGAAAAACTGCAAAGGGTTCAGAAAAGTGCTACAAGAACGATCTGTGGTCTGGAAAATATGTCTAATGGTCAGATACTTAAGCAGTTCAAGCTATTTAGTTTATCCAAGAAAACATTACAAGGTGACTTGATCATAGTCTGCATGTACCTACATGGGGAAGAAATACCTGATAGTAGGACTCTCTAATTTAGCAGATAAAGGCAGAATAAGATTTGAGAGCTGAAGCTAGATAAATTCAGACTAGAAATAAAGCACAAATCCTTAACAGCGAGGGCAACTAAAAACATTGGCATCACTTACCTAGGGATATGGAGGATTAGGGTTACCATACGTCCAGGTTTTCCTGGACATGACCTCTTTTTTGTCCTCTTTGCTGGCGGCAGCACTGCCTTCAGAGTTGGCTCCAGCCACCCAGCTCTGAAGGCAGCACCTAAGGGTGGCACGGTATGGTATTGCCACCCTTACTTCTGTGCTGTTGCTGGCAGTGGCGCTGCCTTCAGAGCTGGGCGGCTGGACAGTGTTGGCCGCTGCCAGCAGTAGCACAGAAGTAAGGGTGGCATGGTATTGTATCGCAATAGAAAGTCTAACCTTCCTTTTCCTCTAGCTCCCATTTCCCCTAGCAGTGTCTTCTATTTGAGAACTTGAAATATGGTAATCCTATCGGGATTCTCCATCACAGTAAGTCTTTAAGTTGAGACTAGACATCTTTCTAAAAGATACTCTATAGCAGCTATGGGACTGATAAGGAAATTACTAGGTGAAGTTCTGTGGCCTGTGTTATGCAGGGGGTCAGATCAGATGATCATTATTACAGACCCTGCTAAGTCCCTCTTGCAGGTGGTCACCCTTGGCCCTGAAACCATTGCTGAACCTCTCAAGATTTCCCAGCTGCTTATGCACACACCCACAGAACTGCACCTTCATGGGCGCATTGGTTAATAATTTAACTGTTTGGGGACACGTGGCAGATAAAGTAAGGGAAAAAGGCTTTGCAAAAGAATTTCACATATTCTCTCTCTCTCTCATACATATACACACACACACACACACACACACACACACACTTACTTTACTCTTAAAAAGCACAGGAGTGTTACAAATCTATGGAAAACATACTCCTGAATGCAATCTCCCTTACTCTGGTCTCACTTCCTTTTGTGAGTCTCCAGGTTTGGTCTAAGTTCTCAGGGAAGGCAGAATCCCTCCTTCCTCCTCTCCTCTCCTCTCATTAAGCCTTCTCGTTCTGGCAATGGGAATGAACCCCTTTTAAAATAGTCTCCGTTCCTCTTTTGTTAGATGGTCAGCTGGAGAAAAACTGCAATTCTTCCAGTCATATGCTCAGGCCAAGAAGAATTTCAGCCTCGCCACCCAAAAAACAGGTTTCTGTGAACTGGAGGGGCAAAACTGAGACCAGAGACTGAAGAAATTACTTCTAAAAAGTATAAAATTTAAGTCCAAATTTTGATGCATTAATAATAGTATGTGATTGTTCATCACAGAGATAAATAGATTAATTAATGACCTCCATATCTGATGCCTTGATGTGAAAGTAAACTATTTAAAAAACACTCATACTAGACATTTTTTTAATAAACTCCTGTGTCTAGACAGTATGCCAAAGAGATTATTTCAGAAAGATCACCATACTTGTCTAATAAGTGAGAGCACACATTTTTAGAACTTAAAATTTTAAGAAATTGCAGCCATTCTTGTCTACCTTTTGGTTATATCCTGAGAAGTTACTATTCAGAGGAGGAGTATGAAGTTCATGGTTTTGTTCATCCCTTTTTAGCAGTGAATTATCTTGACTTTCTGGACTCATGGAGAGGTGGCTGACTGCAGGGTGCTTGGGTAAGTGCCTTCCAACCTTTAAAACAAAAACACAGCCACAACTGTAAAAACAAGAATTTTAAACACAGACAGAAGAAAAACCTGCCAACTTCTGACAAATCTTTGTTGGCAGCAGCTAAGCTGACAAAACTAAAAAATGATGACTATTTAATGTGGTTAAATCAACCAACCAACATGTAACTAATAGTGCAGATAACTTGATATGAATGTATCCAACTCCACATTTTAACTTTAATTAGCTGAGCAGAACATATTAAAAATATAAGGGAGAGTGTGCTTATTCCAACAGTGGACATCAAGAAATAATAAACTTTCACATCTAATCTGATAGCATTCGTTTACATTTTCTAGGAGAGTTACAGTCAGTTACATATTTACAGCTACAGAAGAAGTCTGGAAAATATCCATCTATAATGCCAGTGCATGTTAAAGCCACATCCATCATATTTAACTGATTTTCTTTACAGGCCACTTGAAAAAGAATATGCCATATTCTATTCTGCATACATCCACATTTCAGCCATCAGCATATACTGAGCTAAATTTAGCCCAATAGCTAATCACTTTATAAAAATCATGTAATTGTGTTATCTATTGTTGTGGTTAATTCATATGTAATTAATATGTGATTAATAGATTTAAGTTGTAGGTATAGGTATCAGTAGGATAGTATTGTAGGGGTATAAGGTTGCCTAAGTATTTATGAGTGATGAATGTATATTAGGTATATAAGCAAAGTAACGATGTAATGCAAGACCTGCAGACTGAGACTTGTAAGAGTTTAGCTTAGCCACATTAGGTCTTAGGCCTTAAGAAGGGTTGACATGAGGAGCTTACCCAGGAGTAACCCTGTACCACTAGACATACAAGATTAGTGTAAAACATGCTAATAGATGATGTTTGGGAAAATATGCCATAATGCACCTGTCAATATCACAAGATACCTGATTGTAAAATTCTGCAACAACCACAGATCACCATGGCGACTTGATGATGTAAATGCTAATGAAAATAAGAGGAACTAAGAGGATAGTGTATAAGAAGTGGGTCACTCCAGATTTCATGGGGTGTAGAAGTCCCAATAAGGGAAAAGGGATTGGAACCGTCATACATATGCATACAGGTTACAGGCATGAGTGTAACACAGCATAAAAGGGGTTCCCCAGCATGAATAGGGAAAAAGAATACATCAGGAAATACTCCACAGATGACCACCTATTGAGAGAGCCACCCATCTTTATGGTACCTTTGTGGATGTCAGTATGAAAACACTGACGCTGGACATCTTATGGCGTTGCTCCACCTTGTCTATGTATCTATAACTCTGGCATTGAATATCTATGTAGTAAGGTTTTTAATAAAGAGAAGACTGATAACTTGTGAATGCCGTTGACGGTCACTGCTATCATTCCTTGTGTGTTCCTAGAGTCTCCAGACCTAATGACATTTCTAATGGTGGTTCTTGCCCTGCTAATTCTAATACTATAGTCCTTAGGGAGTGCAAACCTTTGGCACAGGTTACTATGGTTTAAGATACCATTGGTAATATCAATCCATCAATAATATAAATGCTACAGCCCTCTACATATTCTCTTTGACTTCAGTGGAAATTACACGTTTACTCCAGAAACTTAATTTGTTTTATAAAGTCTAAGAAATTTTTCTTGCTGTTCTAAACATTATGATTTGTCAGCAGCATAAGCAAAAAGGAATGCTTACAGTTCTTTCAATGCTTTAATTGATCAGTAAAAAAAGTTGTGCTATAAATCCTCTACAAAAATTTACAATATTCCATTCGATTTCCGTCTCAACTTCTCCTATTACTTTTCTTCCATGAAGTTTTGGGGATTTACACCAGTTAAATTAAGATCAGATTTTGACATGTAATCTTTATTTTTACTAGTTGAGATACCTCCAGTTCTTTGCCAGGAATTTTTCAGATTGTTTATATTTATTTGATTTTCCAAAAAAGATTGCTTTAGGCAAACCAAGTACTAAACCAAGAACCATACAGTTAACTTATAAATCTTATACAGTAATGTAAGGAACTGAATTCTATGAGTAGCATGGGCAGAATTCAGGAAGGTATAATAACAGCAAAAAAAACCTCCTACCAATCTGACAGAATTGTATTGCCGCAGACACATAAGAGACCAATTTTTTTAAAGGGTCTCTTTTTGTGCATGGAAATAGAACTCATTTAACTCAAGGGGGAATTAGTAACCATCTACCTAAGTGGTGCAGGTGGCATGCACAAAACAGGAAAGCCCTTTAGAGGTTTGGTCTACTAGAATATACACTTAGATAGCATTCAAGTTTTAATAGGTCTGGGATCTGATGTTAATTACTGCAAACTCAAAGGATGGTTAGCAACTTGTTGCTGTACTGTTTTAAGTCAGGAGCCTCTAGCATTGAATAGGGATTGTTATTTATTAATAACATACAGTTTAGAATAAAATAATAATCTTGCTTATCAGGTTGTTTGAAATTCTTTCAATACTCTGTTATTATTATTATTATTATTTGTATTGCAGTAGTGCATAGAAGCCAAGGGCCCCATTGTGCTACTCACTGTACAAACATGTAACAGAGAGACACTCCCTGCTCAAAGAGCTTAAAATATAAAGACAAGACACAACATGTGGATACAACAGACAAACACAGTGAGACTAAAACTCAGTCCATTTGGGAGATTTTTTATTTGTTTCCCTTTAAGGATGTGTTTGCTATTTAGGACTGTTGTTGATTAACATTAAAAGTTAAATATTCAGATTCGATCATGAGTTTAATTAAAAACCCACTCCCTGTTATGTGTAGGGTTCTCAACTCGCATTGAATTCAGTGGGATTTAAAACCGCTGAGGGACATGAGCACATAGCATGAATCAGTCTTGAAGTGGACAGCTTACATTAGCAATAAACAAAAGCTGAACAAGAGTTCCAGGTACAACCACAAAAATTTACCTCAATGTGTTTTATTTTAGAGGAAAGAATTAAGTCAAATTATATTAGGTTATATTAAAGAATGGTTATTTTACAAAAATTATACTTTCAAATTTCCAGCATGTTATTTTATATTAATATGTTTCTGCAGAAACAAAAGTACATTTTCATAGAAAGACAGTGATGGCAAGTCTCGTGAGATGTTTTAGAAGAAATATATCCAAATAATCTAGACAAGATGGAAAATTGGTTTCCCATCACCAGCGGTGAAAGTAAGCCGGTACGCCCCGGTACGGCATACCTGCAAGAGCCAGTGCACCATATTGGGGCAGCCTGGCTTCCCCAGGGGGCAATTTAAAGGGTCTGGGGCTCCCAGCAGTGGCTCCAGAACCTCCGCTGCTGGAGCCCTGGGGTAGCGGCAGCGGGGCTCCAGCAGCTATTTAAAGGGCCCAGGGCTCCCCTGCTTGTACCACCCCAGCCCTTTAAATAGCTGCCGGAGCCCCACCACCGCTATTGCAGGGCTCCGGGAGCTATTTAAAGGCCCGGGGCAGCAAGGCACCTGGAGCCCCCGCTACCCCAGGGCTCTGGGAGCTATTTAAAGGGCCTGCAGCTCCCCTGCTTCTACCACCCCAGTCCTTTAAATAGCCGCTGGAACCCCGCCGCTTCCCCAGGGCTCCGGCAGCTAATTAAAGGACTGGGGCAGTAGAAGCAGGGGAGTCCCGGGCCCTTTAAATAGACCCCGGAGCCCCGATTGCTGCTGCTACTCTGGTGGAGGAGGGGGGAAGGAGGAGGAGAAGGAGGGGCAAAGCACTTACCTTACAGGGTGGGTGGGGGCTGGCTCTGACCCCCTCAAGCCCACCCCTTCCGCCCTAGGCCCCCCCCCGCCCTTTCAGGGGCCAGAGCTGGCCCCAGCGTACCAGTAAGTCACTCGACTTACTTTCACCCCTGCCCATCAGTGAAGATTTAATGTCAAATAGGTGCTGGTTGTTTACAGTTGTAAATTATTAATTTGAAATAGTATCGCAATTTTGAGTCTTGTCAGATAATCCTATCTCTGTGTACCTAAAAGAATATTAGAACCTGTTCATCTGATGGAATTATATTATTTTCTATTGAATAATTAGTTGATATTAATGTGAAACCTTAGTCTTTACATTCAGTCACTGAGGAGCAGAAGCAACTATTTGTTATTGTACTGCAGTATAACCCTTTAAAAAACAATTTCTATTAATTTGAGACTATTTTTGGCTCACCTTAAAGACAGTAAAATCTAGTGAGAAATATCCTCTGGATTTGAAATATAATAGATAATACTTTGAACTTCTAGAGCAGGGGTGGGCAAACTTTTTGGCCTGAGGGCCACATAGGGGTATGGAAATTGTATGACGGGCCATGAATGCTCATGAAATTGGGAGTTGGGTTGTGAGAGGGCTCTGGCTAGGGGTGCGAGCGTCTAGGTGTACATGTGGCATCTTTTCAAGCCAAGAGATATAACTGAAGGTGGCACCACAAATGACCCATCGCCCCGCTGCCTCTATTACTGCACGCGCGCACACACCCACACACACACACACACACAAACATAATGGATTAAAATTCACACACACACAAAAAAGGAAAAGTTAAGCCACCCACAGGCCGACACTGTCCCATTACAATAACTACCATACACCACAGACATCATACAGCAACATTAACTTTGCCTCCCCCAGCCTTCCCCTCTTTACATCCCTTTAACAAACTACCTCTCCTAATACACAAAAAGAAAAGGAGTACTTGTAGCACCTTAGAGACTAACCAATTTATTTGAGCATGAGCTTTCGTGAGCTACAGCTCACTTCATCAGATGTATACCGTGGAAACTGCAGCAGACTTTATATATACACAGACAATATGAAACAATACCTCCTCCCACCCCACTGTCCTGCTGGTAATAGCTTATCTAAAGTGATCATCAGGTGGGCCATTTCCAGCACAAATCTTTGTGGGGGGGGGGGGAGTGGAGGGTGAGAAAACCTGGATTTGTGCTGGAAATGGACCACCTGATGATCACTTTAGATAAGCTATTACCAGC